ATGGTCAGTTAGCGAACAGGACAAGGAAGGTGGCTCAGGTATCCCACTTTAGGAAGGACTGGGGAAAAAAGGTGAAAAATTTGCAGAACATTAAGAAGTGTTCAGCAGGCTGTGCCTTATCTTAAGGCTGCAAAAGCTTGGGCAGGGGTAACTCTGATGGTTACTCAAACAAATATGGTGCATAGTTAAGGGGTGGAGTTCTCCCCTTTCCCACCGTGGCCTTGTCAAACATAGGTTCATCAGAGTTGATGGAGATACTGTAGTATAAATCCAGGCCTGGGAAAAGGAGTGAATGTCCCATTGCAGAAACATTGACAGTCAGCATCGAGAAATATTGAGAGCCCAGGAGACCTGTCCCAAGTTGCCAAGTTATTAAAAACCAGCACTTCATAAATCCTGCGCCATCCTCTGAAGCTTGTAGAGGTTTCATGAAGCCAAAATGTCTCTGACCAGTGGCTGGTGATGGTGTCTGTGAGCTGGTACTGTCTCAGATGAAAACAGGTTGGAAAATAACTTCATGAAAATAGCTGTTGTGATATTGAGGCTGGCAAACCTTTGGAGGTGTAAGTTTGGGCTGCTGATATTAGGGAGAGAAAATTTGCCCAGCCCTTCTTAAGCCAAAGTACACTGAGGTGAGCAAGGATTTATTTAAATGGGCCAAATTTTTTCATGCAAATGGAAGAGTTTTTTCAGGTTCAGCAGGCAAATGGCCAGTTTACCTGCCCCCTCCCCTCCTGTGTTTGGCAGTGAATGCAACAGGGTCACAGTTTCTGCTTGCAGTGTGGGCTCAGTGTGGCTTTATTTGCCTGTGCCACATTCCCATGAATTGCAAAGACATTTTGGAGGGAGCAAACAGAGAGAGAGATCTTCAGAAGAAGAAGGTGGCAACAGGTTACTGAGGTGGAAGAACAGCTTCGTGACGGGCCGTGTTGGTATCTTGGCTGTGTCCTTGCTGGGACACCGATCTCCTGCACAGCCCTTGCCTGGTCCCCTGATGTTTTCCAGTCCCCCTGCCCAAGCAAACGAGGCTTTTGCCTCTCCTCGTAGGTAGGAAAGGACCTGATGTGAGACCATCCCTTGCTCGTGGTGCACCCGGACCAGAGGGGTCTCAGCAACTTCTCGGGGTTTTGCTTCTTAAAGTCCTGAGTGGAGGGATTCCCAAACCCCACGCTATGGGAGAGCCCGGAGAATTGATTTTCACCAGGGCACAGCTACGCTGGTTGCAGTGAGAATATTTAATTTCAAAGCCCTACAGATCAAATGCAGATGGGGGGTGGAGCTGTGCTTATCTCTCGCCTTGTCCAGAAGTTTGAACAGCAGAGCAAACGATTTGATCATGTTTTTATTGTGCTTCTCCCCCTCTCTTTTATCAGGGAGCTGTAAACCGGGGATAATCTGTAATTCTCCCAGGCTAATTGCGCTGCCCGGCCACCTGAGCGTCATCACCTCGCCGGGAAAATGCCCTCCATCTTCCCGGCTCTCCAGAGCCGCCCGGGGACGCGGGGCGTGTGCCGGCTGCCTTCCCAGCTGGCTGCCGAGTCCTGAGACCGACTGTTCCCCGAGGTAATCATTTACTGGGATGCTAACTGGGCCGTCCACAGAGTGAATTAAAAGGACGTTCCTCCACCAGATCGGGAGCTGCGGGAATCCTGTGGCTGCGCCCAAAGGGTGTGGGAGGGGTGGGGGGAAATCGCGGAGAAGTAACTGGAGGCTGGGAGCCTGTTTGCGAGGAAATTAAACTAAGAATGTGCAGAAAAACAGCCGTGGGGCTTCACATTTCAAACTCAGAGTGGTATCCAGTAGGTCTGAAAAGCTGTTTAACACTTGAGCCCTGGCAGACTGCAGAATCTTATTTTCGCTGAAATATTAGTGCTCTTCCCCCCTTCGTTATAACAAAATGAAATGGAAAAGTGACCATTTGCTTGATTCAATCCAACTAAAAACCAACCGCAAACACGCAGTGGTGGGCAAAGCATTGCTTTCCCCATTTCTTTTCCCCCTCCCCCTCACAAAACATCCATTTTCAATGTTTAACCCAGAGCTGCCTGTTTTGCTGTGAGTGGCAGGGGGGAAAAAAACTAAGAAAAACCAAAAAAACAAAAACCGCACGAACTTTAAAATCAATACTTTATATTGCCTGGGAAAGAAAAATTTATTTTTTTTTTTTTTAAAGCTCAACACTTTTGATGAAAAGATGTCAGCCCTGCCCGGCTCCCCGAGGATGCTCCCTCTACGGGCGATGCTGAGGCAGCGTTGCTCCGGCTCCACGCCACGTCCTACGCCAGAATCCCGTGGGTCAGCCCCACACAGTGGGCACTAACACTGCAGCAGCAGCCGTGACTTCCAGACTGTGAAACTTTTAGATTAAATCCTCTCTTTTATTTGTTTTTCTTTCTTCTCTAGAATATGATTTAAAAAATAATCACAAAAATCTCTCATTTTCATCTGAAGCAGTAGGATGCTCTGGTAGCACTAGAGATGGTATCAGTGTGGGTGCAAGGGGCTGTGCAAAGGGATGGATGTGCTCATCTCTGAATGAAAATTTGCATCTCGTGACGAAAATCCGGCTTATTTGATTAGGAATGTGCTTCTGTTATTTCTGCTCTTAAAGGAGGTGGGGGTTCAGTGACTGGTGGGGAAAGCTAAAGCCATTTGTACATCGTGGTCTCCCTGTCCATGACAGGGGGGTTGGAACTCGATGCTCTTTAAGGTCCCTTCCAACCCAAACCATTCTGTGATTTTCTCCTCCGCACTTTGGATTTAGAGCTGAAGGGCTGAAGGCGCTGACAGTGAGCTCAGTCTTCCTTCCCACCACATCCATGGAGGGGAACCGGCACCTTTGCCTTCACCACAGCTCTCACCAAGCTGTGGAGGTGGCGGGACGGAGCCCAAAGGTAGGGACACCAGCGGGTCTTCTCCTTCGTTGTTTGCAAACAGCTCTGGAAAAGTTTGTGGTGGCTCCAGATGTTCAGTTTGGTTGACCTAAACCAGCTGTTGACTGTTCAGTAAAAATTTAACAGACTCATATGGAATGCACAGGATTTTCCTATTTGGAAAATAGTGAATTTTAACCCTCTGTAAAGATCTGGAAAATGCTTCTACACAGCACTGTGATGAAAAGCCAAAATTTCAGAGTCGCCATGAGAATGCACATAAAACGCTATGGAGATATTTTGATTCTGTAATATCGGCTAGTCATTAGAGTAAGTTCAGGGTCAAAGGGAGAAACACTGTGAAATCAAAAATTCCCTGCTTCTATGGAAGATCTGGAGTTTGCCAAGGGCAGGAGGTCTGCCAGAGCATTTTGCAGTGTGGAGCTGAGGCTCGGCATGCTGGAGCAAAACAGTTGGTGATGGGGGCAGAGGGTTTGGTCTTGTAGAGAAAAGAAAGTTTCTGTTCATAGGTTTGCTGATTCTGAAGGAAAAAGCTGGTGTATTTTTCTGATCTATTGTTGTTATCCCTCTCCAAGTGATGATGTGACAGCTTGGGCTGGACCAGAGCTCCTCTGCAGGGTAAAGGCTGATTGTGGGCCACTGCAGGATGTGAAATACATCCTGTGACTATCGCTCCAAACCTTCCTCAGGTTCTTGGAGTGCTGAGGGAGGGACATGGAACCCCAGAACTCTTTTAAAAATCCATGTCACCTGCTCTGGGGACGGCCCTGCTGTCCCCAGCACATGGCCCTGAAGGAGGCAATGATGGGACAGATCTGAGGGTGTCTGAGCTCAAAGATGTCCCTGACAACTCTGCAAGGCTGAGTTATGTGGAGTCGTCATGTTAACGTACAGCCAGTGAGAAAGATAGGAGAAATACCGCCACACAGAGATCCATATTTTTCCCCACTGAGTAAAATACTGTGTAATTTTATCTAGTTACTATAAAACAGTTTATACTCCTTGTTTATAAAAAAAAAAGAGAGAAAAAACCCCATATTTCACTTCCGCTACTGACAGGCTATGGAGGAAAAATAGATGGTTTTTTCTGCATTTAATATTTCAAACCAAGTAGACCCAAAAGAAAAGGCAGCAATTAACCACAAGTACCAGCAATGTGTTCCTTGTGTTTCTTCTCTCTGGATTTGGCTATGAAGAATCAGTTCAGTACAAACTTATTTACAGTCATGTTAAATCCTTTAGCAATTATTTTCCAAGCTAGGCAGGAAAGCAGCGCAGCTGCCATGCTCACCTTCCAGACCACAGACTTCTGAAATGAGACCTGCACTTCACATTTTGTCAGGATTTAAATCCTTTACAGGATAGTTCGGAAATGGCTAGCACATATCTGACCATATGTTGGAGGAAGTTTATACATGTGCACAGGGAAGTAAATTCATAAGCCTGGCAGAACCCCAAAAAGGGGCCAAATGGTAAAAAGGGCATTGATTGTGGTGCAGGTTCTCTACCTAAGAACACACAAAGGTGCATATGCAGGACTATGTATTTTCCCCCTTCCACTGACCTGCCCTGTGGCTCCAAGTGACAGAAGGAGAGAGACCTGAGCATCATCTTGCCCACATCTGAATCACCTTACCATTTGTGCTTGCCCTCTTGCCACCTAAATAACCCTGGCTGTGAGACCAGGGTCAGCTGAACCCTCAGTAGGAATCCAGCAAGGATACACGGTTCCTTGCCTGCTGCCTCCTCCTCTGCATAGCCTGCACCCAGGCTGGCAGCATCCTGTGACTAACTCTTCTAGACTGGATTTCTCCAAGGGACGACCAGCGCTTAATTTGGCTGACTCTGCGCTCTGCGGGAGCTCTCATCCATGCCAGCTTGAGTCCTAGCAAAAACCCATCATCATTAGTCCTCGAAAGGAACAGCTCGGGTATTCTCCACCCCCTCTCCTGCAGGCTGGGATGTACTGTGCGTTCCCACAGACCGAAATTCCCCTGGTAGGCTCAATTACAGCAATCAGCCTTCATGCTCTTTTCCATGGCACTGCTGCCTCCGACTCCGTCCGGCCACCGCGGTGGGGCCGGGAGCTGCAGCTTTCCCACAGGTGACACGGCTCATCCAGCTACACCAGACCTGCGGGTAGGACTCTGTGTGGTGAGCACATGGGTCCCACGGGCTTGTCTCTAAGGGGGTGTTGCCCTAATTGGAGCCATTTGGGATGTACCCTGTACTTCAGGGAGGTGGCTAGAGCAGAGCACCGAGCACAGGCTCTCCTTTGGCAGGGCCTTCACTCCAGCTTGCAGCAGATTTGCTCTGGTGCAAGGCAGGGCTGGGCTGGGGAGGATCTGGCCAGTGTGCATTTCTCTTTGCTAACACTTTGGCAGCTTCTCAATGAACAAACCACTAGAAAACAAATCTGGAGCAGCCCTTGGCTGTGGTGGCCAGACCTCGGCTGTTAACTGGGCTGAAGAGTACCAGCTGCTCTGCTCCTGCCCCAGGGAGGAGAGGCCCTTCTGCTGTGGTCTGGGGACTAGAAACATGCCTGAACCAGCTCCTGCAAACTGAGATGGCTTCTAGACTCCAACTCTGGATCCAAATCTGAATTTCATTGCTTTACATGCTGCCTGAACCAATGTCTTGGCTCCAAATATCTCTCTGCTCTAAAAGGGCAAATAATATAGTGGTGACAAACTTTTTTTTCTGCCCATGGCTCTGTATAATGATGACTTTGAGGTGCTCTGGCTTGGGCTTCCCTGGCTGCAGCCAGGGCAGTGCTTGCATTTAATTCCCTTTTTCCACTCCCCTGGCAGTGGGGGCCAATTGGGAAATGTGATCTGCCTGGTTTTGTGCAGCAAGGGGGGAATGTGTGGCTCATGGTGCTTGAGCTATGGGTGCTTCCCCACGGCAGGAGGAGCTATGCTCAAGGGGGCTAAAGCTTCCCTGTGTGGGAATGGGGAGCCAGGATGGCTTTTCCCGCTCTCCCTGTATTGCCCATCTGCCTGGCTTATCCCCAGTCCCTGCTGATGCCTGTGGATGTCCCTGTCAGGCCTGAGGATGTTGTGGTGCTGAGCTGTGTGGAGATGGTTTCTGGTTTGGAAGAGCAGCATGTAGGATAGGTAATGCTGAGGGCTCCGGTCCCAGGAGGGGCTTGGTGAGGGGGGATGAGGACAGAGGAAGGAATGTGTTGTTTTGGCTCTTGCAAGGCATTAATTAACCTTTCTCAGAAAAGTACTGAACCTGGAAAACCTCTCACTTTCCCTGTGTTTTCTAGTGGTGCCTGTGCAGCAGAAGTGTAATGCTGATGCTCAGACACCAGCTGTGGTCACGCAGGGCTCTGCATCTGCTGGGTGAAAAAAGAGATATGCCAGTTATAAATGGGAAAGGTTTGGTAAATGAAATTTACTTTCCTATTTGTCTAAATTTTGCTGGTGTTTCATAGTTCAAAAGGCATTGCTCAGATTTGCTGTGGGTTGAAAAGTAAGGGAAGAATCTGCTTGTGTCACACAAAATTTTCTCCATCCTCTTCAACTGGGAAACACTGGGTTAGCTACTCACAGCAGCTTTGTCCTGGGTTTGCCCTTTGTGCCTGTGGCTGCAGTGGTCCCCAGGCCTCACTGGCCCATGGGCTGTGACAAGCAGCAAGAAACATTCAGGGTGTCACAACACTCTTGCCTGTCCCCAGTGGGAGAGGACACAGCCATCCCTGGATGAAAGGGTCCAGTGGCACTGAGCCATGGCAGATGTGTTGCAAAAGTCTTGGGGGGGGCAGGGGGAGCAGGGAGGGGAGAGGAGATGGGTCAGCTCAAATTTTGAGCAGTCCTCAGCAGCATCTCTGAGCCCAAAGCTGGTCTCAGAGATGGTTATCATCATGACCCCAAAGCTGTTGCAGTAGGTGGGCCTTGAGTCATGTTCCCAGTGAGCTGGTGCTCAGCTCCCACCCTGCTGCTGTCTCCCACCTCTTTTCTCCTAGGATTCCCCTCCTGAAGCCGCCTCAACCTGCTGTGGCACCTTCTGTCAAACGCTTCACACGTTTGTCACCAAAATGTTTTGGCAGCAGCAGCATCTCTAGGTTTTGACATAATCCCGACAGGAGACTTTCTCAATTATTACTAATGGAACATTATGCTCCTCTTTGGGAACTCCTGCATGAATAAAAAGGGTCATTAATGACATCTGCGCAGAGCCCGGAAATTATTAGTCAATGCTTATACAGTTTTATTTTATTTTTTTAATTTTTACATATATATTTTCTTAAGCTCCTGGTAATTTCCCATCTTACCTCCCACCCCCTTCTCCAAAGTCTCCCATGCAAACTGGAGCTGAGCTGGGTTATTGTCAATGTTCTTGCTTTTGTGCAGGTAAATGCTCTTCCCCTCCCACCCTTCCTTCCCTTTTATTCCCTCTTGGCTTCTTTAAAGATTGTAGCTCTTGTTTCAGTCCCAGGAGATCCCGTTGCACCTTTCTCTGGGCTTGATTTTGTTGCCAGGCAAGCTCAAATACTTCTTGGACTTAGAGAAATCAGTATTGCCCTGGTCCTACCAAGGCAGTGCTGGAGAGGGAGCAGTAGAACTGTGTCCTGCTGCTTGTGGCCATCAGGGTGGCCTGTCCCCTCTCCTGCAGGATGCTGGTGGCACACAAGGGATGCTGGGAGAGGGACTGTAGGTGTCTCCAAGTACCACGTAGGGTCATGCAACAGGGAAGCTTCACTTGGATCATTTTAGAGGACTTTCTGGACACCAAACTATTCAGGTTTTTTCTGTCCTTCTGTCAGATATTCAGTTCCCTCTGCTCAATACCCCTAAAAGCTGCCCAAAGAAGGATTTTTCTTTATTTTTTTTTCCAGCATATTGCAGCAATTTGAGGAACTGGTAGCCCCTGTGACAGAGCCCTACAGAGATGTGGCAAAAAAAGGTGTCTCTGCCCTGAGCCATTTCAAATGACTCTGCAAGTCAGGGCCACTGAGGAGGTGAGAGACACAGGGCTGTGCACGGTGGGTTGGAAGCTGCATCTGTCCCATGTCCTGTGTTGATAACAACACGTGGGTTCGAGCCCTGGGCCGAGGGTTGTGCCAGTGGCACATCCAGCAGGACAAAACTCTGAGGTCGTTCCTTTTGTTGCATTGCTGTGCCAGGACATGTGGTTTGGAGGCACGTGTGGGGTTGGGTTTTATTCCCAGAGAGAGGAGAGTTTTGGGATGATGGTTAGGCTTTTGGTGGGATCCCTTACACCATGTGGTAGAGGAGAAAAGCTGCTGTCTTCATTGCTCTAAACTTGTTTTTCTTTTCTGGGTTGATATCAGTCAAATATGCTGCACAGCAGTTGAAGATGGTGTTGGTCCATACCCAGCAGGGAGAATCTCGGTGTCCTGCAGCCACTACAAGATGTCCATCTCCATGGTGAGTGTCTCTAATGCTGTTTGATGGGAGACTCTTCCCGAAGCCATTGACTGTGACCAGGGGAGATGTGGCCGCTGTGGGGCTTGACTTGCTCAGCAAGGCAAAGGGCACCACCTGGGAGAGGGGTTTGGCCCAGACGGGAGATGTGACTATTCTCCCATGGGATACCTGGGGCCTGGACTCATTGCAGAGCTGCAGCACATCCCTGGGGAAGGTCAAGCAGGGATCACCAGCCTCAATTCAAACCTGGCACTTGGGGTAAAAGGTCGACGCAGTAACTCTACAAAGAAAACTACTAAACAAGAAATAGACTCCTTTAAAAAAAAAGTCCCTTGGAGAAAAGATATTTCAACCCCTTTTTGATTTATGACCTACTATAGGATATTGAGACGTTATTTACAATCGATATACGCTCCTGCAAGACTCCCGCTGGAGCCATAGACCCCGCCTGTTAGAGTGGAGACTGGTCAGCCTGCTCCACTGGAAGTGCCAGCCATGTCCTGCTGGAACAGGCTATAAACCTGCATGCAGCTGTATATCTTTCAGAAAATGGACCTGGTTACACATGTCTTTGGGCAGCTGACACAGGGATATAGTTTAGGGCTAAGACAGCAGTTCGGTAGCAGAAATCAGCATTCCTCAACCTTGCCAATAATGAAATCTCTTGCACAACATAGAGAGCTCCATGGCCTTAAAGGTGCAAAATGGAGTTGTTCACTTGACTTATAATGGAATTGGGCCAATTTTGAAGCAAGCGCTGGATTTTATTCTGGGATTTTATCTTTAAAGGGGGATTTGCAAACACTTTAAGGGGGGGGAGGAATTCATTCCGCATAAAATTGCGTCCTGGCCGCATTCCAGTTTGGGTAATTACGCTCTCTTTCTGTAGTGGCTGCAGGACAAAGGGCCATTCATCACGCTCCAAAGTGCTGCAAAAGGCTCCCGTGTTCCACCGGAGAAGTGCCTGCATTTGAATCCAAGCGAGAAAGTTTTCTCTCCCGGTGCTCCAGGCCGCTCCGGAGAGTAATGGAGCTTGGCGCTGCTTTAGGATCCTTTTGGGTGAGATATGGGGGCGAGCACCTTGTCATGCGCCGCTCAGGCTCCAGCAAATCTGGGTAAGTAGGGCGCTCAGCAAAATAGATTCCTTCCAGCCTCCCGTGGCTCGCCTTTCACCCCGAGGACATGCTTGTCTTTGCAGAGTGCCACTGGAGCTCCAGGGGATCTCTCTCTGGAGCACAGGAGCTGGATTCCCTCTCTTCAAACCTCCCATTTTGGAAATGCCTATAAGCAAGAAACTGGGTCGCATCCAGCTAAGCAGGACTCAAGGACTTGCGGTGCACTCAGAAGTGGTGCAGGGGAGCCTGGAAGGGCGCGGGTGCTCTGCCTTCGTCCTCCCAGGTCTCCATACAGCCAGAGAAGAAATATTTGCAACCCTTACTTCAGCTTTCCAGCTTAGGGAGAGTCATGCTTAAGCAGTGGACCACAGTTCTCAGTGGAAGTAATAGAGCACTGGTTATTAGGAAGTAATTCTTAACTGTGAGGGTGGTGAGGCCCTGGCACAGGTTGCCCAGAGAAGCTGTGGCTGCCCCATCCCTTGAAGTGTTCAAGGCCAGGTTGGATGGGGCTTAGAGCAACCTGGGATAGTGGAAGGTGTCCCTGCCCGTGGTGTGGGGTTGGAAAGAGATGAGCTTTAAGACCCCTTCCAACTCAAACTGCTCTATGATTCTAGGATTCCTTAGCTCCCTGGTAGCTCTATTTGCAGCCACTCTCTATTGAGGCAGAGTGAGGCCCCACAGTGGCAGCCCCAGTGCTCAGGTAGAGGCCAGTCGAGGAGGCAGCAGCAGGCGCAGCAGCATCCCCGCAGGGTGAAGGAGCATGTCTGCATGCCACCCACCAGCTGACCTGCCAGGGAGCATCCTTGGCCTGTGTGCCTTGAGAGTGTCCCTTTAAAGCAATTTGTAGACTGTTATCCTGTATCATTAACCTAATTAGTGTAATTGCCGCCATTTATGTAATGAGTATAAATACTGGAGGAATCCCATAATTAGGAGATGTAATTAGGTAATTAATAGATGACATGGTAACAAAAATCCAGGGGAAACTTTGCAAGGTGGACACTGTGTGTTTCTCTGTGTGTGTGTGTGTGGCTGTTCCAACACACCAGTCTTGCCAGGGTCTGTCACAGAAATGCTCCACTGTTGGCTCCAGCCTGGAGCCCCTCTATAGTCCATGGGCAATGTAAAGGGACCTTCAGGTGATGTGAGAAGGCTCTTTTGAATCTCTACAGGTGTTGCAGAGGGGATCTGGAGAGCCAGGATTCGGTTAAGGGGAAGAGCAGAGCTGTGGCCATTGCCTTACCATACAGACATGCTTTGCTTTGAGATGCTGGGAGAAGCAAGGTGAATTTAGCAGAGGTCTGAGGTGTTACCCAGCCCTAGGCTGGAAGGTGGCTCCAAGTCCTCTTTGCCCCATAACACTTCTCTGCTACAAACAGTGCTGGAAATAGCATGACAGTCAGCTCCTGTGCCAACAGCTCGCCTGACTAGAGGATAAGGAGCCTCAGGGTGTGCTCAGCTGCCTGATAAAAGTCCCATTTTACTTCTCCTGTGGGTTTGGCTTAGAAAAGTGATTGGAGCTGGAAATTGTGTTTGGACTGTGAAGAGCTGATAAAGTTCCTGCTGTGCCTGAGGAGCATTATTTTAGAGCTTCATGAGTTGAGAGTGTTTCAGCTGGACCCTTTCTAGTCGTTGAAGTGTTGATTTTTTCCTGCTGCTCTCTGTCTCTTGCTCCTCAAAGCCTGTTGGTGCTTCTAGAAAACTTACATGTCCAGATGTATCTGAACAAAATAAGTTGCAGTTAAGGAAAGTTTTTTCTTGGAGTTTTTTTTTAGTGTGTTGTTGTTGTTGATCATCTGGATTCCTGGATGGCACCTGCCAGAAGGAGTCACTACCACCAGCTTTCAATACCTGAAAGAGGCCTACAAGAGAGCTGGAGAGGGACTTTCACAAGGGCCTGTAGTGATAGGACAAGGGGGAATGGCTTTAAACTGACAGAGGGCAGGGTTAAGTTAGGTATTAGGAAAAAATTCTTGACTGTGAGGGTGGTGAGACACTGGAACAGTCTGCCCAGAGAAGCTGTGGATGTCCCATCCCTGCAAGTGTTCAAGGCCAGGGTGGGGCTCTGAGTCCCTTGGTCTAGTGGAAGGTGTCCCTGCCCACTGCAGGGGGACTGGAACCAGATGATCTGTAAGATCCCTTCTGAGCCAAATGAATCTATGGTTCTGTGATAAGCCATGAGTATCTCAGTGTAGGATGTCTTCTCTGCAGAGGGTCCTGGGCTCTTTTCACACCACACTGACTAGCCTACACTGGCTTATTTTGAAGAAGCCATCAACCTCGTGACTTTTACTCTTGGCCTTTCTCGCTCCCTTTTGGAGTATGTCCTCTCCAAAAGATGAGCTATTATGCACTCCTTGGAGGAGCACTGCAGCCAGCAAGAAGTGACCCCAAGACCTGCAGCACCGGGAGCACCAGCTCGCGGGAGAGGTCACAGGGGAGCTTGTGCAGGAGTTGGGTGGTCAAAGGCTGCGGAGTCCCCGGGACCAGCAGCTAGAGGGAGATATGACCTCACGCTGAGGGCCAGCCTTGTCTATGCTGTGAATTCCTGTTGGAATGCCAGAGAAAATCCTCTTGCTTTCTAGTGTTCAGGGTTCATGTAATGAACAGCCGTAATGCAGACTTCATTACATAGCATAAGTAATTCTCGAGATTAAAGACTTTTGAAATGGCTCCTGATGAAACTTCTGCCAAAGTCTTTCTTAGTCCTTGTCTACCTGGAAAGTTTTATCAGGTGTATCATGATCAGTATATGTTGGTCCAGTTACAGCAGGAAGGCTCTGTCTAGACATTTTCATTCCAGTATAAAAAGGGCCTTTTTTCCTTTAGCTTGAATTCACTTGCACATGCCCTTCACAAAATCAGGGCTTCATCAGTGGAGGAGCCACTCTATATGTAGCATTATGTTTGAATTCCCACTCTGCGCTTCATCAAAGCCCACTCTGCCCTGAGGCCAGGAGTTTCTGCTCCTGCCATGGCCCTGGCTCATGGATGGGGAAGTGGATTGGTTTTGGGCAGTTGCTTGGCTGGAGTCAGCTCTTTGTGCCCGAAGCAAACACATGGTCTTGCAGAGCACTTCTGCAGCCTTTCAGCTTAAGCCTCTCTGCTTCCCATGCTCCCTGTCCCCCCTTGTCCCATGCTCCCCGTCCTCACACTCTAACGGGATGTGTCCCATGGGGCACCATTTGCTGAAGTCTTCCCCAGCTGATCCTTTTGTTTTATCGAGGAAGCAAGTTTGGGGATTTGCCCTTTGAGACGCAAATTTGCAGGAGCCAGTGTTGTGCTTTGGCCCCTTTTCCGTGTAGTGAGCTCCAAGTCCCAAATGATCCCAGCTTCAAACCTGTCTTGAGGCTTTGCAGACCCTTGACCCACTGGCTTTGCAGAGGTGCTACATTTTCCACCCTGCAGTCACAGAGGGTGACTTTGATGCTGGCTCTCCAAGTGATGGACTATGAGGAATATCTGCCTCCCTTGGCCCTGGGCCATCACATGGGTGAGGATCATTGCCATTTCTACATTTTGCCCTCATTTTGCTCTTGCTGTTGCCCTCACCAGGCACTAAGTATTGATTTATTCTTGGGGCCATGTCCAAACTACCCTAACAGAGACCTCCACTGTGAGTGCAGAGCAGTTGTACTTTGTCTCTTGCTCTCTTTTTATGATGGAAACACTTTTTCCTGTGTTTCTGTCTCCCCTTTGAGGTCTAGCTCCACCTGAGTCCTGCCAAATTTCATTTTGTTCCTGTATTTCTTGGTTTCCAGATGTGTCTTCCTTTGCTGATCTCTTCCCCATGTCATCTTTTTCCCTTTGTAGTCCTGATGCTAATTGTGAACACACTTTTCCTATAAAACATGGTTCCTGGCTCAAAGCCTTGCCTGAATGGTTGTCCCACCTGCATTTCAAACTCTAACTAAAAAAAAAAAATAATTGAAATTTCCTCCATGTTCAAATCCTCAAGCTCTTCAGTCACCCTGAGTGCATTAACAGTGTTGTAGTTCTGGCCTAGCTTTGTGCATCTTCTCTAGTGAGCTTGATTTATCTATCCAGGATTAATCTGAAGTTGTCTCCTAGAAATGGCCAGCTGTTCTTCAAAGCTGTGGCCAAACAGGCATTTGAGGAAAGCTTCAGATATAGGTAGAGACCTGGGTGTAAGGAGCCTATTGGGAGCAGTTGTCTGAAGGAGGAAGAGGGAGCAAAGCTTTAACTGGAAGCAGTGAATTATGTTCCTCTCTAAGATTTGTCCTGGTTTGAAGCGAAATGGATCCAAGGAAGTCACGTGGTTTGTGTTAGACAAGAAGATCCTAATGCGGTCTTTTGTTTTTCCCTCCGAACTCTCTCTGTCTATGGATTTGTTGGAAGACAGATTGCCAGGAGAGTGTTACCAAATAATTATCCTATGCCTCCTTATAGCAACCTTTGCAAGAAAGTGTTTAGACAGAGAAGCCACATGAACTAGTCATTAATATCTTATAGGTCAGAGTTGCAGATGTTGCATTGTGATGAAATATGTATTTCTTCCTATTTCCTCGGAAAATGGGCTTGTGAGACAGAGCAAGATTTATGATGATCTTAATTAGTTATTTCCTAGCTTTCAAAATGTTTGGGTTTGAGAGATGATATGATAGACAATTAACTTGTTGTCAGAGACAGCGACTTTTAAAATGAAATGTTTGTTCTCAAAATATTATTTATCTCAATAAGCATCGTACGCACACTGTAGTACATACAGACTTGTACGTATAGATAAATACATGGATAGGCATCACTGCAGCCACAGGAGTTGAGAGCATGGCTTGATGCTCCTGGGATGGACAGTGTCCCTGGGTCCACATCAGGCTGAGCAGAGCAGGCAGAGGTCACAGCCCTTCAGTGGGGGTTGCTGCCTTGTGGCTGCTCTTCTTGCCATGCTTGTCCTTGCCCTCCTCCTGGAAAAGTGACCTGCAGAGGGTAAAGGGACTGGTGTCCTGCCCTGCCCTTTTCTGTCTGGGTTTATGGGCTAAGGTGAAGGCCAGAGACATTTTTACAGGCTGAGAGAGTTGGGGTTGTTCATCCTGAAGTAGAGAAGGCTTCAGGGAGACATTAGAGTACCTTCCAGTACCTAAAGGGGCTACAAGAGAGCTGGAGAAGGACTTTGAATAAGGGCATGGAGTGATAGGACAAAGGAGAATGGCTTCAAACTGACAGAGGCCAGGGTTAGATTGGATTTTAGGAAGAAATTCTTCCCTGTGAGGGTGGTGAGGCCCTGGCACAGGTTGCCCAGAGAAGCTCTGTATGCCCCATCCCTGGAAGTGTTCAAGGGGTTGGATGGGGCTTGGAGCAAATTGGTCTGGTGGAAGGTGTCCCTGCCCATGGCAAGAGAGACTGGAATGAGGTGTTCTTTGAAGTGCCTTCCAGCCCAAACCATTCTGTGTTTCTATGATAAGTACTCCAAACCAGTAATTCCAGGGACACTTGCCAGTAACATGGCACTTGTTAAGAGGTGGGGGGTTGTGAAAGTTTTTTGCTAAACTAGTAAAGCTTAAACGAAGGGAATTATATCTCTCATTGCTATATCCCTCAAGGACAGAGAGGGGGTTGGAGATAACCTTCAGGGAAGGCAGAGGGCAGGATTGCACTGACCCCAAAGGATGCTGGATGTGGTCCCTGAAGCCGTGGCTGCTGCGATGCCTCGTTGCTGCGGGGAGCAGAGCTGCTGCAGAAGGAAAGAGGTCACCTGGAAGCTGATTTATTTTTTTTCTTTCTCTTTCTTTTGCATGTTTTCATCAAAGCTTTATAAATAACAGTCAAAATCCCTGGGGAAAAACCTCCCAACCAGCTGCCTGTTGCAAATACTCCAGGAAATGGGAGGTGGTGGGGGAAGAGGGAAGGAAGGCTAAATTTGGTGGCTTTTATTTTTAACAAGGGCTATTTCAGTTGGCTTTAAACTCATGTAAAAAAAAGAAAAAATAGAGCCATGGGAAACTTTTGCCAGAACCATAGGAGTCTGTGGAGCCGAGCACTTGCTCTGGCCAGCACGGCACAGACGTGGTGTCTGCGCCAGCCCCTGCTCCAGGATTTGACAGCTCAGACACTGCCAAGGCCATCGCAGGGACAGGGAGCTCAGGGACAGAGATGAAGCGATATATTTCAAGGCCTTGCAAGATTTCTCTAGCAAAGCCAAGAGAGGCTCAAAACTTTCCAAAGCAACCAAAGAGGGCATCTGCAAGTCCTTGCTTTTTTGCAGGGCTGTTGTACTTGGGTCCCTGGTGCAGCACAGTAAAGCTTAAGTTAATGAACCCAGAGAGTCAAGCAGAAAGAAATCCCCTTTTTCTCTGTTGCTTTTTAAAAAAAATTCCATGACGATCCATCTCCCGACTGGCTCTTGCTAAATCTTGCTGTTTGCAACACCTGAAGTCAAGGCGTATAAAACGACTTGGCAGCATCCCTCTAACATTCCCCTGGCACTCTTTGGAGAGCAAGGGTGTTAACCTTGGTGTCCTGGCCGTGTGCCAGGGTAAGTAATTACATTCGGCCTCTATAAATTAGCCCCACGGTCGCAGCCGGGGAGCTGCAGCGTCATTTCCTCCCGGCTGTGCGATGCCCTACACGGTCCACCTGGGCACTGGTTGCATCTTGGTGCATGGGCTGGTGCGGAGGACAGCCATGGGGAGCGATGGGGGATTGCTCATGCTAACGCTTTGTTATATTGCTCCGGGGTTACAGGTTTGGTTCTCGATGCTCCTGTGTTTGGAAAGGGAGAGCGGAGAGCGCAGAGCTGAGTCGGATCGGGCTCCCTACCCCAACAGGGTGACCTGATAAATTGCCACCAGTCAGCTGAACCTCAGTAACGGCCTCTCGGCTCGCAGCTAAAATTAGCTGAAATGGCATGAAGAGAATTGCTGAAACCTCCACGAAAGTGATTTAAGCCGAAGCACGTGACCTCGCATTTGTCACGGGCCGGAGCACGCGCAGGCCTGCTGGCACAGCGCAGGTGATGTGCGGGAGGGTGTTCAGCCGTGGAGTCTCGATCCCTAACTCTTAACTCTGGTAGCTGGACTGCATGCTCTACCTGTGACCTCATCTCACATCTCCCTGTTCCCCAGCACTGACTCAGGTTAACCCCTTCTGCTGGGACGCAGCTTAAAGGGTCTTCAGCAGGCGTCAGGTTACAGCTGGAATGGACTTCAGAGTGCAGGAAGGGTTAATTTAAGATTAGGAACAATGTGTTGGCCAACTGTGCTTATTTTCCAGTGCAGACGCCAAGACAACCCTGTGCAGTCTGGGCTGAGGTGGAGTGTGCCTACATGGAGGATGATAAAACCAATAGGGTGGGAAGGTCTAAGCAGGAGGAGATGTGGTGCCACGTTCCAGACTGTCTTGTCATTGTTCCTTTCAAAGGTCATCTGCTTGGTCTTTAATTTCCGAGACTGGGTGCTAAGGGCTTTGGGGTCACCGTGCCTTCTCTTCCATGAATCCAGCTGCCCCAGAGTGGGTGCCTTTCCCAGACTGGCAGCGCAGGCTGCAGCTCCTGTGGTTGCCCACTGTGGAGCAGTTCTACCTTTGCATGGCTGTTCTGTGTGTGGGAAAGGATTTCAAGAAACAATTGACCAAATGAAACCTCCGTAATGCTTCTAAATACTCAAACACATTAGACATGCCTGCCCAGCTCAGAGATAAATTAGAGCTATTATCACTAGAGCCCAGACAAACAAACGGAGGGCTCTCTCCAAACAAGCCATTCACTCAAGAGACTGGATTTACAAGGGTCAGGGAAGCAGCATGAGCTGCAGGCACTTGCTTTCTTTGGAAACCTGTTTAAATTGGCCATATTGACTAGTGCAGAAGGAGGGGAGAGAGCACAGCTCTGCTCTTTGGAATGTGGGGAGTCACCTCCGTGCAGGGACTGCGGCGCCGTGACGTACTAGCTGGCATTTTGCTCTCCATGTCTTCTGTCAAACCTGGAAGTCAGAGACTGATCCGTTTTGCTTTTCTCCCATGTGATGGCTGGGAGATCAAGGTGTGCAGGAGCACATCAGGGATGCCAAGGCCGCTTTGCCTTGCCCTTGGATTTTTGTGTTTGCTTCCAAGGAGGGATGGGGAGCCAAGCTGGTGGTAAGGTGGCACTAAGAGAGAGGTCAGTTCAAATCAGCATCTTGGGCATCAAGGAAACTGCCTGAAGGGGTAAATGGAAGGTAGAGTGTGTATTTTGGGCTGGATTTTGCATGGCAGCTAAAGGAAGGAAGGAGCAGATGCAGAGACAAAAAAGGAGTAAAGAAAAAGAGATGATTATTCTGCTTCCTGGCTGTGTTGGGCAGCCAGTGCTCTGGTGCAGGGTCTGTAGCACAGCTTTCCACGGTGTCCAGGAGCACCACGCTGGGGCTGAGCGTGACGGAGGCTGGGACTCAGAGCCTGGCTCAGGCAGGGTGTTTGGAGAAGGGCCACAGTCAGAGCAGGGTTTCAGCTCTTGGCTGGGCCCCCTGAGCCAGCCTCCCTGAGACTGGGGGAGCCAGGCTGGGGGGAGAGGCTGGGCTGGGAGACGGGAGTTCTGCAGCATCATGACCCCTGCCCACTTGCCTGGCAGCTCAGGCCAGCGGCACCCATGGAGGCTGTGAGGGTGTTATTATCTTCTGAGAGATGCTCTTGAACACAAAAACTTGATCCTGAACCAGAGTGTCGCTTTTTGGAAGATGTCCAGTCTCCATGCACAACCTCTGACTGATGTTGAATTTGCCATTTCCCTTGGTAACCAGACCTGGTGATTAACTACCCTCCCTGCTCAAAATTGTCTTTTATTTCTCATGCAAGGTTCTCTCACTCAGTGTTGTCAACTCCTACTATTTATTTTGGGTTTTGCTGCTTACTGTGCCTTTTACCTGTAAGCCTAATGAACATGCCAATCTCAGCTATTTTCACTCTGTGGGTATCTGGGATCAAGTCACGACGAAGATTTTCTTTGACTGCTGAGCAGACAGAGCCCTTTCAGTCTTTTGCAGGGTTGAGCACAGGCAGAGCAGAAGCTGTGCTCGCCACTGCCTTGAGCATCTCCCAGTGCGTGGGATTTTATTTAAAGTCCCAGCCTCTGGACTTGCACCATTACAAGGACCTTCCACTTTTTATTTTGCAGAAACCTGAAAACAATTACTCAAAAGAGAAACAAAAATCATTTGCTGATTTATTTTTTTTTAATGCATCAAGACTTCTGTGATGTTTTGGTTTATTGTGAGCAGAAGGGGTGGTGGGTGCTGGCTTGGTGAATAATTAGCAAAGCTGAGAACTTGCCAAGGAGACACCGTGGGCCTCAGGGGGTGTCTGCTTCCATTGTGTGTGGTTCCACAGGCAAGGCAGACACTGACCTGAAATTCCTACAGCTCTTCTCCCTGCCCAGCACCAGGGTAGGTTTAGTTAATGTGGGTGGCTCATATGGCCTCGACATCTCTGAATTTCAAGTGTTCCTCATCTGAAGGTTTTTCTGCATTGCTGGGCAGGCTGAAGGGCACAAGTGGCCTCACCAGCAGTGTCATGCATGTGGAGGAAGACGGAGTTTATTTTCCAGCTTCCTTCAAGGGTCAGAGGTCCACTGCGTTGTGTCAACCTCTCTCAGCTGAGCTAACGTGCTTCAGTAATCCCAAGACTTCAGATTTTTTCATCTTGCACTGTGTCTGTCACCCTCCCCATGTCTCCTGGCACTGCTGGTATAAATTAGAAGCATTTCAAAATGAAACAGCAAGATGCCTTGTTTAAAAATATTGAAATCATGTGTTTCCCCTTCCTTCATTCCTCTCTTTATATTTCTTCCCAGGAAAAAAACCTATTTGTGGAGCTGGATATCCAGAGCAATAGTAGCTTTGGTGGCTGAACCCCAGGTGGTTTTCTGTTGATTCAGAATTTCAGCAATTCCTACTAATTGCAAGTCCTGCCCTTGCAGTGAAGCTTTGCCTCACTCACCATTTCCAGGCTTCAAGATTTGGGTACTGTTACCTGTCATTTCTGCTTCTAAAAGGACTCTGGAGACTGGGAGTTTGGGAGCGTTCTTCTAACCCCTGGGGATTTTGTGCATATGTGTTATCCTTTCCATAAAAGAATCAAGCTGGTGGTCAGGCCCTGAAATGCTTAAGTATTTATTTAAAAGTAAAATAAAAAGATGGAGCAAATAGGGGTCGATGTCTTAAGGGCTGGGAGAAAAAGAGGGAAGAATGGGTGTGTCCAGGTGTTACACATCTACAGGTTCATGTGGTGTCCTACAAGGTGAAGGAAGGTCGGCAGCATATGCCTGTGGTTATTGTGTTTGCTTCTCAGTTATCATATGAGGCCTAAATTAGGGTGTCAATAAAATATTCCATGATGGCCATGGTTAAGACAGCTGTGCCTTGTGTTTTATGAAGTGATTCGAGGAGCAGAGGAAGTAGGTTGTTCCATCTGGCACACCCTGATGAACCCTGGAGAGGATGCTTTGCCCCAGTTTTCAGAGGGAGATGCTCGAAGACGCCCAACTCTGCTCCTGCCTTGCTACCCGGGCACTAAGGGTCAGAGGAAACACTGGTGGTGACTCAGTTCCTTGGAAAATTATCTTGCTTATTTATGTGATGGGGAGGAAGAAGTTTGTGTTTAGAGGTCAGTGAATTAACGAATTAGAAAACAAAGACTCAAACCAATGTTCATTATTTTCTGAAAAGCAAATGCAGTCTTGGCTTTCATTTACTGCAGAAACATTTAAGAGGTTTTCCTAGCAGAGATCAGAGCTCCAGCTAGTGAAACCCTGTAAGGAGGAGTCTGTGCCTCAGGCAGGAGACAGACAGACAGTGCAAGGGAAACAGAAGCAGTGACTGGTATTTGAGCACGTTTACAGGAGCCAAAAAGCAGAGCTGGGACCGCGGGGCCAGCCCTGGAAACCCCAGGCCATAGAACCAACCTCCTTCCTCCCACAGCAGTGCTCTTAACATTGACCAAGACACGATCGTTCATGTGTTGCCCCTGGAGTCAGTGGCTGAAAAGCACTTTACGAGGCAGCAGAAACACAATGGGCTATTATTTTTAGGCTAGAGCCATTCACACATTTTCTCTGCAAAGCGGGTACCCTCTCTCTTTGTTGTGTTTAGTTGTTTGTGCTGCCTACTATTCCCTGCCTATCCAGCATCTAGCAAAATGAGATGCTGATCTTGTCTGGGGAGGTAAAATAGTGCAAATTACCCTCATCTGGAAACCCTTTGGGTTTGAACCTGAGCGCTGCACTTGTGCTGTAGCTCTGTGTCCAAACCGGTGGAGCTAATGACCTGAGACTGCAGGGAAGTTTGGACACAGGCTGCAGCTCCTTCTCCCTGTAATGCTCTCCTCAGTGGATTAGAAGAAGCTTCCCTGGCAAACTGGGAAGGAGTCCAAGCTGGGGAGCTGGTGTGATAGGAACTGACAGGGCTGGAAATTTGATTTCTGACTCTTTGTGCGTGTATTTCTTATGAAAGAAGAAGAGGGAGAGGGAGCCAGGAGTACTTTGAATCCTGCAATCATTAAAACCAATTCCACTTTTCCTGCCCCTGCCCACCTCCTGATATGTGTGTGAAACAATCTTTACAGCTACACAGCCATCAGATGGTATCGACCCGGCGGTGGAAATTGCTATTGACTGCTGCTGGTGCTGCTCTCTGCACTTCCGTGGCTTTTAAAGCGACACTCTTCAGGTGATTTCACTTTGCACTTGATACAGCCTGGGAAGCACTGCCTGAAACGGGATGGGAAGAGCATGTGTGGGATTTGTGTATACAACAAACACCGTCACTCTCCTTTAGTCAGGGGAAGGGTGTTTGAGCATGTGGGAAGAGATGCTTCTGCAGAATCACTCATCTAATAGGAAGATTCAGAAATTTGAATTTTTTTTTTCTTTAGTCCATCATGAAATGATTCTTGTCTCCCACTACAGTTTTTTCCTACTGCAATTCCAGCACCAAGCCAGGACCATTCTTCTACCCGTATGAAGAATCCATCCAGTCCTACATCAGCTGAGGACTAGATACATTGATTTCTTGTTTTAAGGGGCACCTCTTATTCCATATTATAAATTCTCTCTCATCTGCTTTGGGTTCCAAAGAAAAAAAGTCAGGAAGCAATAATATTTGCCTTTGATGCAAGTGTTTCGTGCATCTTAAAAACCCTTTTGATCATGCATGAGAACAGGGCTCTGGCTTAGGACTGTAAACATGCACATTTTGTTTCCTCCGAGGCAATTTAATTGATGGTATTTGGTTATTCCAGTGCTTGGGTTTGGAGTTAAGTGGTGGTGAGGGGAGATGATAAAAAAGCTGTGTAAAAGCCAGGGTTAGAGTCTGACCCCAGCCCCACAGAGTAAATCTAGTGCAATGCCATTCTCATAATGCTGGTGGTCACTTGGGCTTCTGTGCAGTGAAGGTCCCTGTCCTATCTGCAGTGAAGACCTGGCAGATGCTGTCTTCTTCCAGAGCAGGCTGTGATGGTGAAGTCTCCAAGGGGCTGTTTTCTTCTGGGATGTTTCTCCAGGGCTGACAGCAGCACTGTGGCCTCCAGTCCACATGCAGTCCACCTGCCAAGCACTGGCTTCGAGAAGGCTGAACATGCTTTGGGAAGTGACCCTTGTCTGATCAAGGAGCAAAGCAGGGAGCACCCTGCAGTGCTCTGACCTGTGCTCCAGACCAGGCGAAGCTCCTGCCTCTCTTTTACCAGCAAGTTGGAGGTGCTGTTATTAAAAGAATGGATGTTGCTCTTTCTCATAGAGCTCTGCCTTTGTTCCTCTTCCAGACTCGTGCCTTTGACTTCAGCCACATGGCAGTGCCCAGGAGCAGAGGCTGCCCAGATGTGTCCAGAGTGTGTGTGCAAGGACTACCCTTTTTTGTTATCTGGAACAGCGACTGCCTAAAGCTTCTGAGCCAGCCCCTTAGCTCGAATGCAAACAACCACTGCTATTAGCTCTGAGCAGTCCCTGACAGCCTTGATTTCAGGTCACAAGACTGGCAGGCTGCTGAGGTGTCAGGAGACATGCCTGGTATTTCCCATCTCTCCAGCCCAAGCCCTGGGAACTGCTCTGTTGGTTTACACTGAGCCTTGGTGTTCATGGGGTGAGTCTGACCCTTCTCAGCCTGGCTCTGTCTCAGCTGAATGGGAAGAAGAAGTGGAAATAGAAAGGGTTGGATGCAGAGAGGATGTCTTGGTGGTATGGTTTGCATACCCAGCCCCCAGCACTGGCTGGGAAGGGAGATGGAGCAGGGCTGGGAGATGGGGTTAACTGAGAGTCAGCAGACCTGCTGTGGGCAGAGCTGAGGTAGTAAGAAACCTGGCCTAGGGGTGGTTTGATGTGCCAAACACTGCCCTGCGTGCTTGGGGCAGAGCTCTGAGAAGGTACAGAGCACCTTTGGGTGAGCATATGGCCCTTTGCTGCTTTTGTATCTGCTGCCCACCCCTGGGATGGTCACAGGTCAGGCATGTCAGTTGGGGGGGGGGGCTGATGACTATAAAAACCCCCTCTTGCCTGTGGCTTCTTTTGCCTCTCCTCTCTTTCCCCTCTGTTTATGGCAGTGTGCATCTCCCAGCACACTGCTCCCGTTTCTCTCCTCCCACTCCATCCCCATCTGGCTACTGGAGGCCAAACTGCCTGTTCCATGGGGACAGTAGGGACCTGGGATGACTTTTTTCCTCCCCACTCCTCCTTGGGCTCTGCCACTGTCTTTCTCTCTGGTCTAATTCTTGTATCGCTCCAGAACTAGACTATCCAACTGGGGAAAGAATAATTATTTGGGAGAAGGGGCTGGAAGCCTGGAACACAGGCGGAGTTTCAGCTCTTTTTTTTGAGGCCAGGGCAATGTGAGCCAAGTGGGGTCTTTCCAGCCTGGACCTTGAAATCTGGGCTCCCACTCAGGACTTGTAAAAATTAGAAAAACTCACTTTACTGTGAGTTAAATCGGTACTTCTTCAAATGAGATTTATTAATTTACATCCTTTGAGGACCTTCCCCAGCATGAGACTGGGGGAAAAGCAGCATGTTAGAGTTGCTGGTAGCTTTTTGAGTGTTTTATGTCCTTTTGTCTTCCCCATTGTAGGACCACAGCACCCCCATCTTTTTTCCAGCCCTCTGGCAAATGTCTTCTGTCCCCATCCCTTGGACACCTTGACTTTTTGGTTCATTAAATAGAGGTGGCAAAGGTTGAAGCTGCTGGTAAATAGGCCATTGTGGGAGGCTGAAGGCTCGTTCCAGAGCGATATTCAACAGCTCCACCTCTGCCTCAACAGCATCTTCTTCCAAAGCCCCAATCCCAGAGAACTTGGCTTTCCCTTCTCAGGGCTGTGGCTTTCCCTCCACAGTTGGTGCTGAGCTGATGGGGCCAGTGGACCACGCATGGAATGTGAGTGTAGGTGGCTTTGAGCTCACTGCGAGATGCAAACAGTGTTTGCTCTGCAGGCTTCGCTCTGGTTCAGAGATGGTGACAACCTGTCCTTTCTGGCTTCCCCTTTGAAGAACCGTGCCCAGGGAGGGCAACCTGCTCCCCTAGCCCACCTCCCAGGTCCTCATGTCCCATAGTAGTCAGGTGCTGCTGGAATGTACATGTGCCCTTATCAAACAAGCAGCCTTTGAGAGTTTCTCTTTCTTCTGGGCTTAACCTGCCTAAGTCTTTTTGGGGCGAGATACGATATACGACTTGACAGCAATTCGAGGTGAGATTTTTTCCTCCTGGGAAAGCGTGGTAAGAAATTAGGCTTTGCAGGTTTTCTGCCCAGTCGACCAAGGAAAGAAAAGTCCTTGGTGAACTTGGGCTGGGTCTGGGGACAGGAGAGCTGCTGCTGTGATTTGTGGCTATTCTCTCTGCAGCACTGCCTCTGTACTCACAAGTGAGAGGCAAGTGGTTTTGACACCTCTTTATGACCTGGGAGCCACAGGGAAGTGGTGGTGACTTGTGTTCTGGAAAGACAAGGTCATCGACAAGGGTGGTGCAAGCATCTTTGATTTGTCTGACCCTATAGAATCCAAGTATTTTCAATTCATAGGAATTAAAGTGAACATCATAGTTTTAGGCTACTGGCTATTTGAATCTAGGTGCTTCCCAAGGTGGTGTACAATACAGGGATATTATGGGGAAAGCTGTTGATAAGAGCAATAGTGAAAATGGATGTCTGGTTTCAAGCCTATCTGTCCTACAACCTTCAGGGCCTGCCAGGGGACGTGTTTCCTGGGCTGTGAAAAACCAATATGGGACACAATCATATATCAGTGATTATATCGATCATTGTCTCAGACCCATTCAGTCCAAGGACACCAGCACCTTTTGGAGAGGAAGTGTTGCTTCTGCTCTGGGAGTCTGGGGAGGGTGTTGAATGCATGGCAGTGATGCTGTGCAAGGGGAAGTGACTCCCCTTTAGGGAATGCTGGGTCCATACTTGAACCAATTAGTAGAATGCAGCTGAGCAAAGTACAGAAGGGATCAGACTGATAATAAGCAAAATGCTCAAATATGGGAAGTTGGGGAAGAAGCCAAATGAAAATGAAATGAAAGGCTAAGGTCCAACTTCAGCAGTTGTGCAGAAAGGATGGGGCAGCTGATAATAGGAAAGCCTGCAGGAACAATGGGTCAGACCCCTACGCAAGAGACTGAAGGAATCTGTGAACAAGCCAAGGGGGGGTGGGGGGATTTTATCGAAAAGCATTTCAGCAAATTAAAGCTGTTGGCTTGCTTACCACCACCAAGACCTAAGTCCCTCACTGTGACCTCATTGCTCAGTGCTTTGTGGGGATGGCCAGTTGAGAAGTGCATGGGTTAGTCAGGTTCTGTCTCAGAGGAGCAGCAAGGGTCTTCTTGGCGGACCCCTGCATGGGGGGAATGCTTCCCACCAACTTTACTGCTGTGGAGGGGCCGACAGCATTTGCTCTATCCCTTAATTCAGAGCTGGCGAGAATTGTCTTTGGGGATAACCTTAAACCCCTCTTTTATGAAGGTGAAATCAGAAACCCATAGCTGAGCCTCTTCCTTGGCAGTGTTTCTTAGTCTTGGAAATACATAGAAGACTCAAGAGACGAAAACCAACTTTTCTGACTGCAGACGAACTCCATAAAGACCACTTGAAGGTAGATGATGTGATGAAAAACATCCCAAAAACTGCAAGTCTGCATCTAAGAAAATTATTTTCTTACAAAGACGGTGATTCTAGATCCCTCTAGTTCACATGAGGCAGCGGGGATTCCTTTCACAGACACGTTGATTAAGGTAGGCATTACATGATCACCTTTGGGTGAGAACCTCGGCTCTTGCTAGTGGAAGTAAGGCTCCTCTTTTTCTTGCCTCTCCATATCCCCATGTGTACAAAAAGAATAGGAATATACCTTCTTGGTAAATCATCTGAAAATGGACTTGCTACGAAAGACAGCCCATCCTGCTAGCGGCGAAGAGGTCCCATTTGGAGGCTTGACTTGTGAGATCTCATGGAGAATCTATGGAATACAGTCATGAGTTCGTACCTCTAATGTGGCTTTCTCTTTATAAAAGTACTGCACGGAATGTGAGACTCACTAGATAAAAGTGAATTTAACAGCTATTTTGTATCCTTTGAGGAACATCAGTGCTGGTTGAAAGAGGGGAAAAAAACCTTTTTGTTGAGTCTGGAATGGACCTGCTTTTATTGAAGGACTCTACAACTGCTTTTGTTGCTATTTCCGCTGATAGCTTTTACCTGACTTGTTTTCAAAATCCTTGTTGAATTTTTTTTTTCTGTCTGCAAAAAACTGCATTTCCTTGCTGAAATTCAAGTTTGGGGTCTGGAAAAACGTCCTAAATGATTTTGCAGATGGCTTGTTCTGATGTAGAAGTCCCAGAAATAGGGCATTCTGTAAGGGAAGTCACCTGTTTATTTCCAGGAGGGTAGACAATTTATTTTAAACAATGCCATTTTCTTTTCAATTATAGACGCTTTTGTGGAAAAAAATTCCAGCAGTCTCTAAGAAAGAGCACGTGATCACAATTAAAGGATGTGCTGTGCTGTATCAGAAGGTAGCATTTAAACCAGGGAAAGCCTGAATATTGGCTATAACTCATTGTAATTATACCATCTATTTCAAACATGTAAATATGTTTGGTAGCACTTACATGTTTATGTCAGCTATTGGGAAAAGACGTTTTTCTTTTTGGTAAACTTCTGATGGTAAGAATTTTGTTCCTTGCATTTGAATAAATAACAAACAAGCTTACATACCACAAAATTTTGTGTGAACAGAACTTGGTCCCCTCTCTTGTGGTTGTAGGACTGTACCCGTGTTTGAGTTATTTATAATAATTTCATGAATAGGTAATATTAATAAGCAACATATTAATTAAGACATACATTTCACAGTAGGATAAACCATGACTGTGGCAAAGTCAGTGTGATGCAGGGGGTTGAACATGAGGCTGGGAATGGGGTGACTAGGAATCTAATTCTGGCTGGGATTGGGGTGGCTCTTTCCACCCTAACTGGGATCAGGGGTATTTAGCTCATTTTGAAAGGGCTTTGAGATCTGCAGGTTGAGATCCCTCCAGAAGACCCAGGTGCTTTCCTAAAGTCTAACACACAAACCCTGCAAAAACCTGAAGGCTGATTTAACCTGGCATTGGAAGTGAAGCAGCATCTCTGCTTGAATTGATGAGAAAACTCCCTTTGCTTCTGGGGATTGGAATCCTTCGCTAGGAGAAATCATTCTGAGCCTATTTCCCGTCCCTTTGACATTTTTTGTCTTATCAAAAGCCAAAGGAGTAAGGAAGAAGGTTAATGACTAAATTGACAAATAAACAATCAGTTCAAAGCAGCAACACGACATTTCCTGGAAAATTTAAGAATCTCCTCTGAAAATCAGTTAGGAATGTAAACGCTGCCATGCTCCAACTCAGGGGAGGCTATCCGTACGGAGTTCATTGTGTTACAGGGGCTGAGAAATAGGAAGGGCTTTGGGTTTTCCATGGAAAATTTTTCCTTAGAGGAAAATTGCAGAAGAGGGAAGAAAATTAATTTGGTCATGGTGAACAGAGAAGGCTATGGCCACAGAAATGTCTGAAGTAGAGCCCCTCCTACAGTGTGAGGTATGATCTGTACGATGTCTGGCTCTGGGATGTCGGGTTTGGGGCAGCAAAGGGAGAGAGTCCATGGCTGTCCTAGCAAAAGGAAATGTTTAAGGAGTCTCAGGCCAGGAAACCGCTTCTCATTCCATGGCGGCATGAGCGTTGAGGGATGGTGACAGTGGGATGCTTCCCTCGCGGTCAGAGAATGAGAGTGTGTTTGGCCTTTGTTTCCAAGGGCTCCACTTTGCCACAGTAATGGTGCATTAACAACGGCTTGATTTTCATTTAATAAATAATAGGAATCATACTGTGACGGAGCCAAGATTTTAAACAAGAGGCTCCCATAAACATTTTCTTCAGGAATCTGTGATAAACCAAAGATAGTGTTAGATGTACTCGGGGGGAGTGGGGAGGCCAGACTTGGAAGCTGTCCATCTGCTTCGCCATTGAAACAAAACCACTTTATAATAACCACAGAGGAGAGGAAGCGATGCAGCTTGGCACATACACTTACACTATGTGTGGTGGAAATGTTTATTCTTTATTTCAGAAAGATTTAGTGGGTGTAGAGATAATAGAGCATAGTGCTCACTTGTGTCTTGGGGAAGGAGGGGTGATGGTGTTTGGGTTTTAAGGGAGTCCAGTGTCGGCTCCCATGGGGAATATTTTCGGTAATACCTATTGCAATCTCATGCACTTGGAAGGCAGGAAGAGACAGAGGAATGAAATGTGCTTTTCAGGAGAGGTGTTGTAAAGGCCCCAGGATTAGTTATCTCTGACAGGAAGGATTTTACAGCAGACAGCAGAGGCAGTCCTGGCCATTTCTGCATTGGCATATAGCTCTTCCAAGGTCCTGTGCTGGGATGCTTCCCTTGGATCTGCTTGAGTCACTCTGCCCTGCTCTCTCTGAGATGCCATGGGGCTGCCTGGGGCTTAACAACCCCATGTGTGCCACGTATCCCTGCCCATGCCAGCTCTCCAAAGGATGTTCTGGCTCCTGCGCTCTCCTATGTGCTGAGGCACCGCATTGTGACTTGGAAAATGGAGAATGATCTTCTAAACAAGGGTCAGCAGGGTCAGCAGGCCACTAAATCCCATGGTCCCCAATGTCCCTGTCATCCATCGTGCTCCCTTTTCCGCTGTGCACATTCAGCTCTGCTGCACTGCCTCTCCTTGGAGCTGCTCAAAATCAAGCCCAAAAGACCCTGGGCTGACCCCTGGGGGTGGGAGAACCCCTGCCAGGGTTTGAGACAGCAAATGTCTAGACTTGGTGTGTGAGCAAGCAAGTGAAGGCATGACTAAGTGTCTGAAAGTTTGGACCTCTGCAGAGGAGTCCCTTGGCTCTTTGTTTCTTGGATACAGTTCTATTTCCTGTGGAGCCGTGGAGATAAAGGATATTTTTTCTCCCTTTTTTTTTCCCCTTTTCAAAAAAGTAGAAAATATATAGATACGTCTTGGGTGAGAAAGCAGAAAGCCTTGAAAAATTCTGGCAAATCAAGAACACACGAAGAATGTGTTGAGTGAAACATTTCGGAGTGACAAAAATCAAAATATCTCACTTCGCCTTCAACCGCTTTACAACATTTTAATGGTTCTAAAGGAAATTTCAAAACTAAAAGTCGTGTTTTGCTTAAAACACTGGAAAGTGTTCCATTAAAAAGGAAGAGTGGAAGCAAAACAATTGCCTTATATATTTTTTCTTTCCAATGAACCTGATGGGTCTTTCCCCACATGGTGCTGAGGGCTAGGCGCATCTTCCCTTGTGTCACAAGGGGCCTGGAGCTGGCATCCCGAGAAAGGGACAATCTGATGAAGCCCTTTGCCATGCAAAAAATTCTTCTATCACCATAACTATTTGATGTATTCTTTTTTGTATACAAATTTGCAGGCCAGCCCAGTCCCACGGCCATGCCTGCTGACATACTGAGGTCTTTGTGGCAACAGGACAGATCCCAGGGAAGGCAGAAAGGGGCTGGGGAAGTCTGTTCTTTCCAGAGTGCTGTGACACGTAGGTTGGAATGGTGGTCTTGGTGGCCTTGGGACCTCTGCCAGCTGTTCCTGCACTGTTTGGGCAGGGGAGGGGCCATCAGGTGTGGGATGTGGCACCGCTGGCTTGTGTGATGTGCTTGGGGAAGCTCTGTATGGGTCAGGGAAGAGAACTGCAGAATCAGTCAAGTAAGAAGGGACCACAGCGGGTTGTGTGGTCCAAGATTTAGTGAGAGAAACAGCACCATGAGGAGACATCAGTGGCCGAGGTGAGTGGGAAGGATCTCCCTGGTGGCTACAGCAGAGGGGGGGGACCCTGCTCCGTCCTGGGAGAGGTCGGGACAGCGTCGGGAGTCAGAACTACCTGGATGGCTGGGGGGCAGTGGGAAGGCACAGAGGCTGCCCGGGGGGCATCAGGGGGCCGAGGGGATGGGGAAGGCTGATGGAATGGGGGAAGGCAGGCTGAGGGGAGGTCGGGAAGGCTGAGAGGAGATGGGAAAGGCTGAGGGGAGGCGGGATGGCTGGAGGAGGGGAGGCGGGGGGCTGAGAGGACCCTTAGGAGCAGCCGGGGGGCCGCGGTGAGCTCCAGGGGCGGCGGGCAGGCTGAGGCACCCCTCCGACCGGCGGGGACCGCGGGCCGGGGCCCGAGCAGGGGCCGAGCAGCGCATGGCGGCCGGCGGGGGCCCCCATCCCCGGCCCGGGCCGCCCCTTCCCCCCGCGCCGCCGGGTTCGCTCGGGCTCGGTCGCTTTAAGGCGCGGGCGGGGCGCGGCCCCGTCCCACCTCTGAACCCGGAGATTGACGGGCGGGCGCGCAGGGGGCGGTGCGGCCCGCGGGCCGTCCCTCCCGCCGCCGCCGCCGCCAATGGGGCCGGGGGGGCGGGCGGCGCCGCTGCCCCTTCCTCCCCCCGCCCCCGGGCTCCTCCGTGCCAGTTTGAGGAGTCCGGAGCCGAACAAAAGCAGGCGGCGAGGGCCGGAGCGGTGCGCGCAGGCCCGGCGCAGGGGGGGCCCAGCCAGCCCCGAGCGCGGCCCCAGGGTGGGGGAAAGTTTGGAGCCCTCCCCCGGTTGCGCGGGGGCTCCGCCGCGCTCCGGCCGCGGCAGCTCCGGCGCTGCCATCGCGGGCGGCCGCCCCGCCGCGGCCACCGCTGCTGCCGCCGCCGCCGCCGCCTCCTCCTCCTCCCCGGGCGCAGCCCCTGCCCCTGGCCCGCCCGCTGCCTCCCCGGCGCGGGGCTGAGCTGCCCTGCTTTTGGAGTCGCCGCCGTTTTCCCCTCCCTTCCCCGGAACCCCCCCCTCTCTCTCCCTCCCTCCTCCTTCCCTCCCTCCCTCCTCCCTCCTCCTCCTCCTCCTCCTCCAGCAGCCAAAGGGATTTTTTCCCCTTTCTTTTTTCTCCCTCTTTTTTTTTTTTTCCTCTCCCCCCTCCTTCATTTTTTTCTCCTCCTCCTCTTCCTCCCCGCCGCGGAGCCGGGCGCCAGCGTGAAGGATAAATAAAAAGCGAAGAGGAAGAGGCTGGGGAGGAGGAGGAGGAGGAGGAGGAAGGGGGGGGAGGAAAGAAGAAGAAGAAAGCGAGCAAGAAAAGAAAGCGAGGAGCCAGGCGGCCAGCCCAGCCGCGCCGCTCCCGGCAGCCAGGGCAGGAGGCGGCGGCGGAGCGGGGCCGGCGGCCGGCGATGGATGACCAGCCGCGGCTGATGCACACGCACAGCGGGGTGGGGATGCCGGGGCACCCGGGCCTGTCCCAGCACATGCAGGATGGACCAGGCGGGGCGGAGGGGGAGGCAGGCAGGAAGCAGGACATCGGAGACATCTTACAGCAGATCATGACCATCACGGACCAGAGTTTGGACGAGGCGCAGGCCAGGTGAGAGCGGTGGGGAGCGCGGGGGGGCAGGTGCCGGGAAGTTTCCCCCGCGCCCCGGCCCGGCCTTTGTTGTGCGGCGGGGGGAGCGCGCCCGGCCGCGGGGCGCACCGGGGGACCGGGTCCTGCTGCTCCTGCCGCTGAGAAATGGGGGGAGGGAGGCGAAAAGAATGGTTAATATCCATCCTTTTTATTTCCTGTTTCCTCCCTCCCACCACCCCCAACTTCGTTGGGGTATCGAGGGGGTCGCAGCGCCTGCAGCCTCCCTCTTCTTCCTCCATCCCAAACTGGGCCTGGCTTTTCCCAGCCTTTTTGGGCTGGGGGATCATTGCGGAGGGCGATGGTGGTTGGGGCAGGCTGGGCGAGCGGGAGGCTCTGCTCCGGGCTCCTCCGAAAGAGCCACGAAGTGCTGCCCCGCTTTCAGGGCCGCTAATGATGTTCTTTCCTAGGGCCCTGTAGTGGTGTTATTTTTAAGGCCGTGTTTCTGCGCTTGGAAGATGCTCGTAGACGCTTCGCCTTTTTTATTTTTTTTTCTTCTTAATTGCAGATGTATTTAAAAAGGAAAAAGAAGGCTGTAAAAGCCGGTATCTGAATTGCCCTGAGCTTCAGGGAGTGCAGATCTAATACACACCTTCTAAAGCGCTACCAAAAGTTAAGGGAGGGGGGAAAAATCCCCAAATGAAGGAATTAAAACAAAAATAAGTTGCCCCGAATCGCCTGGGGTATGCTTGAAATCTCTTCTGGGCTGCAGAGCTGCTCGGTGTGGTGTCCTTCCCCCTGGTATTCGTGCCCCGAGCTGGAGCAGATTGCTAGAATACATTGTTCCTGGAAAAACGCTCCTCACAGCCCCAAAACTCGCTTAGGAAGAACTTCCAGAAGGGTAAAAGTACCCTCTAAACCTCAACTTTCATCCTCTCCACCTCCACAGCTTCTGTAAAGCTCCCGCTTACTAAAAAGGCTTGTTGCGGGGCTGATCTTATTTTCTTATGTTCTTGCAGGGGTAGAGTAGCTGTGAGGAGGAGGAAATCATTCACTTTCTCCCCGGCCAGACCCGGGGCAGTGAGGGGATCTTCCTTTGGAAAGTTGCAGGAATCATGTGTGTTCCTGCCTGGATAATTTAGTGTAGTTAATCAAATCACTAAAACCGAAGCAGAACAGAGCTAGGAGAAGGCTTTATGGGTTTGCCTTGCTGGTCTATTTCAGCTGCTTCCTCAGGACTTTTTGTAAAAAAATATTTTTATATCTGAGCTGACAAACATGCTGTATTTATCAATAATATTTGGTTTTGCATTTCCTCCTTCCACCCTACTATTGCAGGGGTTATTTTGCTGCTGCCTTATTTTTTTTTTTTTTTAATGAAGTTTTGGGAAGATGCAAAGTGCCAGTGTTATTTGTAAGAGGGCCCCGACAGCATATGTACGTGATTTGCGTATACCCAAATGTCTGCGCCCATCTGGGTGTGCTGATAAGGGAACACTGTGGTTCTGCAAGGGTATACACCTTTGAGAGACTTCATCAGATATATAAATCTTTTTAACATGTTGTGGGTGGTGGGGTAAGTAGTGTGAATGTTTGCCAGATGTTCACATCGTCTTTTGCGTGTAATTTCGGTTGGTAAACAGAAATCCCGTAACCGGTGCCTGATAGCAACAGCCCTTTATACAACTGAACCCTTGTCTAAAGGGTCGTATGGCTTGAGAGAAAAAAATTAAATGATATTTTTCTTCGCCTCAGCGGGTGCTTGGTTGGTTTTAAAACCACCCAGTTAAAACCGCCCCCCCCCCAAAAGTCTCTCCTCAAAACCCACAGGAGAACGGTCAGCTCTGAAATAACAGCAGTCAAAAAGAGCGGCGCTGAATAGCATTCCCTCCCCTTCCCAACAGCAGCCGGCTGTGATTTTTAATGTGTTTACTGTCCCAGTTGTAAAGAATTAAATTTTAACACCTGCAAATAAGCTGGATGTAAGTGGCATGGAGGTAGAGGAATGGGTTTCCCGTTCCATATATGTGCGTTTCTGTGCTTCAGGTTGGGCGCTGAATTCCCCGGAATTGACAGCTCTAAGCAGAGGATGTTTCCAGCGCTGGGGCAAGGGGGGTTTATTTTCCCTCTGCCTCACAGAACGAGCCTAATAAAGCACATGGCCGGGTGTAATATGGGAGGTGGGGGACAGAGAGAGCGCAGTGCTTGCTCTGTATTGAATAAGACAGTTGATGCCAGCTTGGCTCCCAAAAGCTTCTGGCTTCGGCGTGGAGATCGCCTGGCTCCCGCTGGCCATGGGAGCTGCTCGGTGGCAAAGGCGATTTTCAAGCCATTCCTAAATTAGTGTTATTCATCTCCCCTGTGTTGGGTAGGTGACTGTGTGCAGCACTGGGGCTGAGGGGGCTCAAACCTGTCCTCCCCACCTCTGGCACGCACACGCCAGCCGGCTTGAATTTGGAAAGTTGTTCCTCGTGGTGACATCCTAACCTCACCCTCCTCTCTTTTCTTTTCTCTCCAGGAAACATGCTTTAAACTGCCACAGGATGAAGCCAGCGCTTTTTAATGTCTTGTGTGAAATCAAAGAAAAAACAGGTAGGAAATCAATGCTGTTGGTTCTGTATTATTTTTCTTTTTTGCTCTTTGAGGGTTTTATTTCACCAAGTTTGTGCCCCCCTGCGCCCCCCCACATGCAGGAGTATTTAAGTGGGGAGAAATAACTCGTCAGTCTTTAATGCTTCAGGCAGTGGACTTGCATGATGCGGTTTGTGTCTGGAAGGGAAAATACTGTGGTTTAATTTCTATTGTATAGCCTTTCTTTATTTATTGCTGGTTCTGTGGAGAAGAAAAAAAATCAACCCCCTTGCAATTTCTGTCTTGCTCTGGTTTCTTCATTAGGACATGGCACTGTTTAAAAAAACAAAATAAAATCTGGATGCAGAGTGTGTGTGTGGGAAATAACCCCAAGAAAATGAAATTGTACAGTTTTATTGCCATCAGTATTCGGGTAAACATAAAGGTTTACTTTTTTTTTTTTTAGGAAGGGGTTAAAATGCTCTTGTCTGCCAATCATCCAAGCTAGCTCATGTAAGAGCAAGTTGTCAGTTGCCTTTAGTGAAAGCAATATATTAGATTGTTAGTTACTTTAGGGTACTGTTGTTTTATGGCATGGGGTGTTCTCAGGCTTCTTTAGAAGCTAATGGCATGAGAGCGTTGGTTCTGCTGTTTCCCACTTTCCAGACCTCCTACCATGTACTAACACACTTATAACACATCCCAGGGGGGCATTTAAATTTTAAAAGCAACAATTAAAAAATAGCAGTCATCAATCAAGGGTGATCTTAAACAACAGATGCTCAGGGAAGGACATTTAGCAACATGCACCACTTATTTATGTATTTGTTGGAATCTCTCTTTTTTTCTTTAATAGGAAAAAAAAAAGTGGGGGGAATGATGGAAATTTTGGAGGGGGGGAGGATTGTTCATCTCTGCTCTTGGTTTTCTGAGCTGACCAGAGTTGATCCGTGGGCTTTTCCCTGCCGATCTATCCGCCTTGTTTTAGCACGCTGCAAAGTACTTGACTTCTCCCCCCCGTCCCCCCCTTTACAACAAGGACTGAAACAGTCAATAATTCATATCTAAGCCATATAAGCAAGGGCATGACATGAATGAAAGTGACAATAAATATGATTGCACACCCAGTTGATATACATTGATAGTTACACATAAAAGGGGAACAGCTTTCAGAAGCCTGAACTGGGTCTTATTTTTTTTTTCCCTTTCTTAAATATATATATATAAAACCTCCTAGCATGAGCAGCTGATTGAAAATACAATTACTTGACTCTTGCAATATATATAAAATGACTAAGGGGCCCCTTTGTTAAGCGTTGTTTGTGCAGTGTGTAGCCCAGACAAAGCACCTACCGATGGCATTCGGCTCTCCGAAGTCCTCACAGCTGCAGGGCCGACTCTGACCTTCCCGAGGAGTCCTTCCTTACAGAGTTCCTGTAATATCAAGCAGTGGGTTTGGTATGGGAACCTCTGAACAGTTCGTTTGCTGTAACACGGGGCAGTCTGTCTAGAAATAGATTTTATGGGGTTTATAGTGTTTCCCTCTGTGCCTCCACAGAAAAAGGAGCCACCAAGTTCCTTTCCCTTTTCCCTCTTTCTCCTTTATTTTGTGTGAGTCAAAGAATGTGTTTGCCTGTCTTTTTTCCATGTGTATGTGGTGCTGTGTACGTTGCCTGTGCAGGAGCAGTTTTTGTCAGGGGAGCTGTTTAATCCCAGTTTGGCATTGCTATCAGTGCAGTCTCATAGTTAAAGGATGGGGAATCTGTTGGGACTAAACTTGGTGGGAAAATCCAGGTGACTTGGGGGATGCTGTGAGGTCCCGGCGAGCTGCAGAGGGATGAGGAGCTGTACATACCCACAGTGACTAGGTGGGATAATTCCTGTCTGCTAAGGAAAATGGAAAGAAATGGTATAGGGTGAAGCATGCTGCTGGAAATCAGGATATTCAGGTGTGAATTGGGACTGTCTTACATTTTTTTTGAAATGCTATTTGTTGCTGTTGTGCCTGGGTTACTTGGGTACGGGGCTGCGCTGTGGAGGTCTCCGAAGAGGTTGACTGGAGATGGCTTTTGGAGTGTTGTTTATCTACCCTCAGATATGTTTACAGTGAATTCCTTCACTTTGCAAATTCAAAGACCTCCTCCCCTCTCCCCCATCTGCATCCCCAAAAGTCACACTTCGTAAGGAAGCAAACGGCCAGATGTTTTTGGTTTATTTTTATTATTTTTCTTTTTTTTTAATTATTGCTTTGTGGGCCCGATGCTAGGAGGAAGTTCGCCTGTGTTTGTTCTGGGGCTGAGGGTACGGCCTGGTTCCGTTTGCTTATCCTTTCCTTGTGGGCAGCAGCATGAAAGTTGAGGCAACTTCTTGCTTCCCACTTTCCATTTAGCTTCCCAGATTTTTGCTTGTGCCGCGTTTGAAATCCTGGTGATTGTTTGTGGTCACTGGTGGGTGTTTGAATGTGCTTGTGTACATCTTCCCCCCCGGCGTTATGATGTGCAGAAATGTGCGTTCGGTTACCCCGCTGCCTGATTTAAGTGACTCCAGAGCCTTACGGAGACTTTACCACCATCTCTCGCAACATTATGGCTAATATTTCATAGTGTTAACCTTGTCTTGAGCAAACCCAAAGTGTCCATAAAGTTCTTGGAAAAAGAGGTCGTCTGTACTGGCAGAAGAGTTCCCTTTTGCATTTGGGCTCTTCGGTTATTTTAAAGGATTTATAAACACTTTTTAAAAATAATAATAATGATTAAAAAAAAGAAAAAGCTCAGTGAGTTGTCTTTTGTCTGCGGCCTGGAGATTGCTGCTTTCGGGGTGATGTCTGTTTAAAAGTATTGAAAGTTGAGAGGTTTGATCCAAGCGGGAGTACGTGGGGGCAAAAAAATTGCCGCTTAAATATACATCGAAGTTGCCGGCGTTCATTTGGTGTGTTTTCACTTGCTGTTGGTCGCTTTGTTGCGAGGGAAGGGGCAGGACTGCCTTCAAATGGCTGGCTGGCTTTTTGGAATAATAATTATGGAAATGGGAGGCATTGTTGTCCTAAATACAATTGATTCCTCCTTCAATAGGGATTGAAATCGGAAATTGCATTGCTGATTTATAAAAAGTTTGAAGGCAGGGGAAGGGGCTCTGTCTTTATGGCCTTTTTTTTTTTCCCCCTTGTTTTTTTCTCTCTCTTGGTATGTTTTTTTTTTTTAAGCTGTTCTCTGCATGAGCAGAATAGCTAAGCAGAAGAATCAGGCAAGGCGTACGCAGACGTGGGGTCCTTGGATGGCAAACTGGAAAATATCTGCTGTCAAAATGCAGCAGCATCTATTTCAGCTGTGAGCCTTTCCCAACTCCCATCTCGTTCGGCGGGGACCGGCGGGGAGAGGCTGAGCACAGGATATATGACCATTTAATCTGATTCCTCCTCCTTAAGAGCTTTTCCCATCGTTTCACTTTCTCTGCTCATTTGGGGGAGGTGAGGGCATCGGGCAAATTCTACTTCTTAAAAAGACCCTGACTTTCTATTTAAATCACACGATTTTTATTTTCTTACCCTCCTCACCCTTCTGTGTTGAAGGAATTCAGGATTAAAAGAAAAATGTACATAGGACCAGTGGAGGGGGGGATTTACGAAGTGGAATATTTATAGACAGCACTGATTAGCTGTGCAATTGTTGTTGAATAATGGGTTTGTTGTCTCTTTTTTTTCTTTTAATTTTAGAACAAAATAGCTATATAAGGTGCCTCTTAGCTACCTTTCCTTGTGCATTATCTTCACCAAACTTAACTCAAATCAGATCTTTGGAGGAGGTAGGATTTTTCCCCTTCTTTTCTTCCTTAACACCCCTTTGTTCTCTCCAGCTCTGTGTTCAATTAACACCCCCATCGCAGAACTGTAGTCTTTTTTTTTTTTAATGTCTGTTACTGTATTTCACTTCTGACACCTCTCTTATTATTCTTGCCTGCTATTTCTCTTTAATATAGCAATTACGATATGGGGTTTCTTTTTCTTCCTCCCTCCCTCCCTTCTCTTCCCCACCCCCCAGCTAATATCCCACCACGGGCAGAAGAGGGACAGGCATGGTGTGTGCAGCGCTGGTGGTTTTGGGGTGCTGTAAGCAGGGTACATTGGCGAGCCCAGCACCCCTTGGCTGAAGTGTTTCTCAGGGCAGGATGGGGCAGCTTGCTTTCCTTCCCCCCCAGCCCTTCTCCAGGGTATCAAACCCTGCCCTCCTCCTCATTCTGTGTTTCCACCGAGGAGGTTTCCCAAGGCGCAGGAGAGAGTTCAACACCCCGATTTGAATTTCAATGCAATTCTTGCACCTAAGGCATCATCCTGCTTCTGAGAAAGCTCATCATGAAAGTGCTCGTGTTCCAGCCCCTGCAGGATCGGGGTCCCCTGCTCGGCTTTCGGCAGGTCCAGCCCTTGCCTGGCTGCTCTCCCTCCTGCCCTTCAAAGGCGGGGAAGCCTTTGCTTTGATATTTGTTATTACTATTTTTTTTTCCTCTTCCAGTTGAAAGGCTTTGAAGGCAAAAGTGATGCTTCTCTCTCTCCCAGCCAGGCAGGGTCTGCAGGGTCCCTGGTGTGGCTGCCTTGGGGGGAAGTGAAACATTTTGGGAGAGCAGGGCCTCCAGCTGACCCACACTGCCTGAGGAAGCCTCTCTGTAGCTCCAATTAAATTGCTTCCAGAAAGCTGATGTCTTCAAGGGAAAGGAGGGGAGGGAATGTGCAAGGGGCTGTAAGATAGGGATGGTTTGGGAGACCTTGGCTTGGTGGAGGGCTGTATTGCTGCAAGAGGAGCAGCCACCTTTGGGACTGGCTGGGAGAGGATGGAAACCAGTCATCCTGATGGAAAGGGGGCCATGTTCCAGTAGGTCCTGGTGGCTGGAAGCTGCAGGGTCGTCGGGGCTGGACCTGTCACTGCAGCGAGTCCTTTTTCTGGGTTTTATTCTTCCAGTGTGGTGTTGTCCACCAGGGATCTGCTGGGGATGGATGGCTTTGGAGGAGTGTGCTTGCAGGGATACTTCTTTTTTTTTCCTTTATAATTTCATATTTTCTTTCTCTCCCCTGGTAGCATGTGGTTGGAGCTCTTTGAACGGAGCAGGCTTAATTAGTTTAATCAAAATTGGCCTCCTGCAATCCTCCAGGGGAGGAGGTGGGAAGAATGGGGCTGGCAGTGGGCTCTTCCTCCCACCTCCTCCCCCTCAGCCCTGCTATCAGAGTGGAGAAACCAGGCCTGGCTCTGGCGCATCGTTCCCGCTCTTGAGGAAATCCCCACAGTTTGGGGAGCACAGGAGCAAACCTGTTTGCTTTTATTTCGAGGCTTGGTTTTTGTGGGTGCCTGATGTCGAGTAAACTTCGCTGTGGTTGCAGCAGAGCAGGAGGATGCTCTTGGAGACTCTGCTGTGTCCCATCACTCCCTTCCCCCATCTCTTTGCTCCTGGGGGATGGGTGCTCCTTGATCCCATGCTCCCAAGTTTCCTAGCCTTTGCTTGCACTGGCCTCCCCAGGTTTTGGATAGCGGTGGCTGTTGGGTGCATTTGTCCAGGGAAGGAGGGTGGCAGGGAGGTGCTGGCTGCCCACTCTTTGGGTGCTGCTGGCTGACAGCACCGGACAAGGCACAGAGGAGAAGGGATCTTCAATTAATGCATGCCGCAAAAATATCTATGTTAACCAGATGTGGGCATAAATAGCAGCTATCCAGAGCATGCTCTTATGTGAACGCTCTGTGTCTTCCCCGCTGCCACGGGTCTCTCTCCAGTCCATCTCCCTTTGCCTCTGTGTGATCTTGGCAGCAGTCAGTGTTGTGGGTGAGTCCAGGGAAAGAGATCTTGTTATCGGGCCGTGTAGCTCCAAACGAGAAACTCGGAAGATCTTTCAGGCCTAAATTTCTCCTGGGAAAAACGGTTCAAGTTCCCTTATTTGAGACCTGCAGAGGGATTTCCCCCCCGGAGCGCTGACTGTCTGCGAGCAGAGCTTTTCTAAATGCTCTCAAATGCGAGATTTATTCCTGTTAGCAGGCTCGTGCTGGCCCTGGGTTTGAGGGCAGTGGTTGTAAACAAAACGCAGAGAAACTCTGAGACAATTTCATCATGGCTTTTTTTTTTTTCCGTCACAAGGAAATTACTGCATGCAGCAATCCTTGAGGGGAGTAGGGTGGTGGTTTAAACACAAATGAGTTTGTTTGCAGTGAGATACAGTAGGCTGTGCTGCTGGTGGTGCTTCTGCTGAATCAGAGCTGGGGATCTTGGCAGGGAGAAGGGAGGAAAGACAGGATTCCTTCCCTGCCTTTGGTTTGGCACCGCGTTCCCCAGTTCCTCCTCTAGTCCAGGAGCTTCTGCCTTCTCTGCTAATGAAGCTCTGCAAAGGGTTTCATGATCTCTTGAAAATCCACTGGGAAGCATTTTACTAGTATTTTTTTCCTTCCTGTGCTTGGAGTTGGGGTGCTCTGGGAGGCAGGAGAGCCTGTTTTGTTTGCCCTGTGCACTAGAGGGGTGGCTTGCAGTTGATGCAAAATACCAGGTAGCCAGTAGGACCAGAGGGTGAGTTTGCCTCTGAAGATGTTATATTTTCTTTTTTTCCATCTTTTTATTATTTTAAATTTTTTTTTCTTCCTGCTATGCCATTCCCATGACAGTTTCCCTATACAGCGAGTTTCTCCTGGTAACACATGCTTTGCTTTGGGAGTTGCTGTGGGGAAGGTGGGCTGTACATACCTGTCTCCATGGTCCCCAGAGCAGGATGCCCCTGCCAGGCTCCACACTTTTGGGCTGAATCTTTGGGCTTTTCCATGCCAGTCAGGGAGAAGTGATGCTCCCCCGTGCTGCAAGGATGTGCCCTGTACAGCGCTTAGCACAGGGGGACTCAGTGCTGGGTTGGGGTTTGGAAGGAGGTAATGTGATTTACAGCAATGGATCTGGTTAATAATCTCCAGCAGCTTCTGTATACTCAGGGGCTGCTTGTATTCCCAGCCAGGTGTTTGCAGACCGGATCAATATGGCCCTATTTGCATGGGGCTGTCCGTAATCTAATAAACCAACCTCAATCTGCGTCCTTTGCTTTCCCCAAACATCCACCGGTCGGTCTGGTGAGTGTTCCCCACGGTGGGAGAAGCGGTTTGTGAGCAGTGCCTGGCTCCTGGAGCGCCAGCCTGGAGTTAGGTGGCACCCCAAGCCTGCACTCTCTGCTAGAGCCTGGGCTGTGCAAACACCCGGCTTTTTGGGTGTGCTGGGTGCTCGGTGGTGCTTTGCACACCGTCACCTCTACAGTGTGCTCCAGAGGCGTCAACATCAGGGATTCTCCATGCAATCCCTCCTCTTGAAGTGTTGCCTTTGGGGAGCATCTGCTGGGAACCCCCTTTGAAATCAAAACCGATGGTTTTGTGGGCTGGGTGGCTGGCAAAACTGCCTTGGAGGTGTTGCATCCCCCGGTGATCTAAATAATAAAGTGTGGTGGGCAGTACCGGGATAAATTACAGAAACCTACGGCCTGAGGAGGCTGTGGGCTGAATTCATTAATGTGTGTTGTCAGGCCAGCGGCCAGGCTGGGGAGGGACTCAGGTGATGCTTCCTCCCGGTGCTGGGAATCGCTTGGGCTGGAATTATTGGTTTGCAACTGTGTCAGTTAGTAAAAAAAAGAAAGGAATATTTGTATCTTTTGGCCTTGTGTTTGTGAGCCCTGCCCCTGTGTGTATGTATGTATATATACCTAAAATGTATAAAAATATATATATTTATTTATATTTACATTTTTAAGCCGGGACGGAAAGACACCTTTGCTGGCTCCTCTTCCTGGTGGTTCAAGGCAAGGCAGCAGGAGAAGGGGCAGCCTGATGGAGGGTTTGGCTGCTGGGGAAGCTGTGCCTCCCGAGGAGCAACGTGCTGTTGCTGGTTCTCTGTGTTTTGGGGAGGTCGCCAGCACAGATAATAGAAATCCCCTCTGACACCTTGAGCGAGCAGTCCATTGTCACTGTTCTCTCCCTGCCCAGCCTTTTATTTATAGGAGAAGCCTTACCCAAAATAGCTTTTTTTTGCTTGCCCTAAGCTGATGTGCTGTTTCCAACCCCCACCACCCCTTTTGTTTTTTTAAATATACTGATAAATGGAAAGCCCTCGTTTCCCCCCAGTGGGAAGTCGGTGCTGTGAGGAACTGCTCTAATCTAAAATGATAACTTTGCCATTTTACTTCAGCCTTGTTGCAAAAGGCAGCGGAGCTGCCTTTGCAAGCGAGATCAGCCTGTTTAAATGCTGGTGGCTAGATTTTTGTTTCTCACCTGAGTGCAAGCCCAGAAACTCAGTTCATCATTTCCATGTCCCATTTTTGGTTTCACCCAGCCTGGCTGGCCTGCCCATCCTTGTTATCAGAAGAGGAAAATCAAGTTTCTCTCGTGGTTGGATAACATTTTCAAATTCCAGAGTGATGTCGATTAGCAGAATTAGCAGTGGCAGGTTACCCAGCAAAAATACCCTTCCAGTTGCAAAGTGTTCATTGCTGGTCCCTGCTCCTTTCCCAACTCCAGTGGTCCCGATCCCGGATGTGTCTCCGCAGCACGGGGATTTTTCTCTCTTAACTCAGTGCAGTTGTTTCCTTTGACATTTGATATTTAAAGGCTGGAGCCAAACTGAAAGTGAATCTGCCCATAACTCTCCGAAATGTGCCTTTCTAATTTCAACATTAATGTTTCAAAACCCAAGCTGCTTGTGGGTGTACCTTTGCTTGTTTACACACATAGTTTTTTTCTTTTTTTTTCCCCTGTGCAGTGATTCTCTGGTGAAACATTAGGAATGATACAATACCGTCAACCTCTGGATAAGTCGGTCTTCTGGCTTGAAGATGTGAATTTGACTTTTAACTCTTAAGTCTCTTAATTTTAAAAGGTTGCGTTTTAACTTAGTCTTTTTTTTGTTTGGGAGAAGGATGCTTATATGCGGAAGTGTTATTGCAATAATATATTAATTGCAACGATATTGCAAGAATTTTCAATAAAATGATTAATTGCAATATTGCAAGAAACTGCAAAAATATTTCAAATATTGCAATAACATGATGAATTTGCAATACTCTGATTATTGCAAATCTCTAGACAAAAGGCACAGTTTACATGGTAAAAGAAATGAGTTGGACAGAGTTGCAGCCATCAATCCTGACTTGATAGCACAGGACACAGCCTCTCCTGTATGTTTTGTGTGAAGCTTGTGCTTTCCAGAAGGGTGTTTGTCCATGGGCAGGGAAGTTGCAGGCGGTGGGGCACGCTCCACTGGTTGAAGGTGTGTTTTGAAGGGTTTATGACCCTTGCTTTGAAGGGGTCACCTATTTATTTCTCATGTGAATTCGTGAAGCTTCTGGCTGCAGCGCTGTGCTGCGCGTGTGCCCGCCGAGAGCGAGGAGCCTGCTCCCGGAGCGGTTGCGTGTTTGGGGGGAGCAGGTGGCAGGAATAGTGTTTTCAGCAAATGTATTATCCCCCTGGAAAATCCTGGCTGTTAGATCTGGTCAGCAGATGTGAAGTGTCGATCGGTATCGGTGGTGGGAAGGGGAGTTGCAATATACTTTGCTAATGGAGAAGAACCCAAGGAGCAATTCCCTGATTTACGCTTTCGGCGATGTGAAATGAAACCGTCTGGAGCGCTTTGCTCAGCGAGCTCTTAGCAGACCACTTCTTCCTCCCTGCTACGTGCAGATTTTTTTCTAAAGAAGCTGTTTTTCAGCTCTGTTGCTGCGTGGTCAGAGGTGGCTGGGGGGCATGGACCTCTTAAATGCATCTGGAGGCGCAAAGCATCCAGCATGGGAGCAGGGAGCGAGCAGCGCCCGCTGTAGCTCTCTCCAAAGCCCCGGTGCAATTCTGTCCCCAAGTGGCTGAAAAGGTCATTTAGCGCAATAGCAAACGTTTAATTTATTTTTTTTTTCTGCTCCCTCAAATAGTCAAATTAGCATCCTTCCTCTGCCACAGGAGCTGCTGGAGGAGGTATCCTGAGAAGGATTATCAGTAGGAACGCCTGGGCCCAGGCTGTTCCTCTCCCGAAGGTCCCCGGCTGCTATTTGCACATCCCAGTGTCTGACTGAGGCTGGCATTTCCCCCGTTTGGTGGAATTTACTTTCTGCCTGGCAAGGGCATTGGGTAACATTTGCACACCTGGGCTGCTTAAGCTGCGGACGGGCTGGGGGGGATGCGTTGGAGAAGGTCAGGGGTCTCTGCTTTCCTTATGGGCAGGAGGGAGCAGGGAGAGCAGCTGGCGGGTACTGTGTGCTCTGCAGAGGCAGCAAGCAGAAGGGTGACAATGGTGTAGTGTAGCACGACGATACCTGCACAGCCCTCTGGAGCTGCTCTGATGTTGGGTGGATGCAGGGTTGGCCCTGGCTCTGGAGACTTCAGACCCTGCCCTGTATCCTCTTGTGGTGGATGGGTTGGTTGGGCAGCAGGTGCCTGGTTTGTTTTTACTGTGGCAGAGGGGGCTGTATTTCCATTTGGATAGGTTTGCAGTGCGTGGCTGGGAGGTGCACAGCCCGGGGTGGGAGTTCTCTTCAGAAATGGCTCTTTTGCATCCAGGTCTAGAAAGTTGTGGGGTCCCGACCTGTGGGCTCTTGGGGGTAGAATGGCATATACAGCAGCACAGTGGCATGACTGGAGGTTTAGGGAGACTTTCCCAAGGGCAGATGGGGATTGTTTATGATGAAAAAACCCACAAGCAATATGAAAGGAGATGAGACACAGCAAAGGGTGGTGGTAGGGGAAGTCTCTGGTCTCTCCATGCGCCTGAGGCAGGTGGCAAAGTCCACGTGGGTAGAAGGACGGATTTTTATTTCCCTTTTTCTGGCATGTTTGGTCAGGGCTTGGAAATATCCTTTGGCAAAGGCAGTGGTGCCAGGGCGGGCCAACAGCCAGGGGCCAGGGCAGAAGGTGAGAGTTGTAATGACAGAGTGCTTCCAGCCCCAGTGCCCAGGTGGGAGCTGCGGGCACGGCTCGGGGAGTGTACTGGTCCCGTGTGCGGAGGCAGACGGCTGCATGGACCTGCTGCATCCTACATGGGCTGTGACTGAGAAAGGAGCTGTGCAATTAGGAGAGGTCCCTGAGGTTTGTGTTTGAAAGGAGCTCCATTAGGGTAATTTTTAAGCTCCTGTTTAATCAGAAGGCCGTCTGCTGAAAGGGAGGGAAACTGCTCATGCGGTGGGTCTGTGCTCATGCTGCATCCCCTCTTCCTGGTTCCTTTTGCTCTTTTTAAATTGGTTTGCTTCACCCTTTGGGAATGCTACCCCAGAGGCACCCAGGCTCCCATCAGCACCTTTGGGTAGTGATGCTCTCTTCCCTTGGGCAGCTCCTTCCAAGGATCTCCCTGGCCTCTTGCACATTGTGTGTAGTCTCAGCCTGCTGCCTTCCTCTTGCTGCATCTCCTCCCTCTACACAGGCAGTGGTGCTGGATCTGACCCTGGTCAGTGATTGCCCTTGCAGGTTCCTGGGGGAAGCCCATCCTGATGGCTCTCCAGAGGGCTGTCTTAGACTCGGCAAGGAGCATGGAGGAGACCTAAATGAAGAACAAATGAGAACCATATAGAGACAAATGGGAATCAGATTTAGGAAGCAGACGAGACAACCCTTTGGAAGGGGCAGGGGGGGATGTTTGCTTTAATCAGTCTCCTTGGGTTTCAGGCAATAATAAAGCAGATTTGTTTTCTTTTACCTTCTCTTCCCCCAGCCTCTTCTCTTTCTCTCTGTTCCTCTTACTTGCTGTTCTCAAAACAGCCCTGGATCCAGCAGCACCAGCATCTCCTTCCGAAGCTCCCACATCTTGCAAATGGGATTACTGACCAATCCAGCCAAAATCCTGTCCATTTTTTTCCGTTCTTCTGTCTGGTTCTCCCTGTCTGGAG